CGTAGCATAAAGCTGCCATACAACTTGAATGATCAGAATCAAGCTCTTACAAGAAATCTTTTGTATTTGTGAAGTGTATTATAGCTTCGGTGCAACCAAAGTTAACATTTTGTAATGAAATCGATTAATAAAATCACTGTTATATCGAATAAAGTATAGTAAGTTATCGATTGTCCAAAAAAATTTTTTTTCAATTCAATTTTTAAGTATTTTCACAGTTACGCACATACATTTTGTGCTTACTTATTTATAGACAGATACATTGTAAGTATCAAATCAGGCACACAATTACATATAATACGGGTATTTATATGTTTCTATGGCACACTGGATGGCGGCATTTCTAATCAAAGGCTAACATTTTTAACTGTTTAAGAGTTTCGCAATTAAATTCCATTTGTAAGAAAGGAATTTTCAAATCAAGTCATAAAACTTCATGCGATTGAATTGTCTGACGGCCGATTGAAGTCCATTGACAGCCGCCAATACGTTTGAAAACAAACAAATCATGCGGCCATAATAGAATCCAGTTGGCAATCATTAGCGGTGGAGTCTGAACGGACAGTAAAAACATTACAGCAAACACAGGTAACACATACGAGCACACGTGCAAATGCTTTCGAAACTGTCAACACATTGACAGCGAGCTCTGATAAAAGCAATATGGCAGCACTCTAAAATCGCGAAAGACTTCACGCATGTGTTTTTATGTGTGTGTGTGCATGTGAGTTCTCTAAACTTATTGCACGAGGAATGAATGGTTCTCAAATGGGCTATGCAGCTAGTAAATTAAATACAAACATACATATGTACATATGTGTGTACCTACATACAGATGTATATGAACAACAGTGCAGAAGTCAAAATGGGCAACTTGCAGTTGGCATCCAACCGTTTGGACGGACACTGACTAATTTCCACAAATGGTATTGAATGTTTTTGTTGGTTTTTTTTTTAAGCTTTTTCGCCACGTAAACGCACAATGTAGATTTAACAAGTTGGGCGGAAACTGTCGATGTGCGCAAAGCAACGAGTAGTCGGATGAGAAATGAAGTGAAAATAGTGGCGAACAGTTGGTAGCTGCAAGTCGGCATTAAACACAAACAGCGTGGAAAACAGTAAACAGCTTTGATACCGTTGCCCGTTGCTGGCAGACAGCAATATTGATTGTTGAATAACAAGAGACAAAATAACAACAACCACAATTGCATTAGCAATAGCGGCCGCAATGGCTGCAATGACAGCTAAAATAATGGCGAATGGCAATTGTCGAATCGTGAAGGCTATTTGGGCCTCGGCCAATCCCAGCGCCAGTGTAATGGACAGTGCGAAAATTCTGTTACTTTGTAAAGGAAAATGGAAAATTTTCGTAGTAATAAAATACTTTAGGTTAGAAATATAAATGCACTTATATGTTGTGTGAGAATGTTTATTGTTTTATCGCATTTTATTTCAGGCGATAAGTGGTCCTAGCCGTTTCTTATTAAGCTGTTATAAATTCTTCTTAATGTTCTTGATTATACCAGTCAGTTGTAATTCGACCAGTTTTTTTAACGATATAATAGAGTGGTAATCTAGTCTAGAGGCATGAATTTCACGAAATTTTTGAAGTGTCGTAAAAAAGGCAATTAATATTTTTACTATAAAATTTTTTACTAATTATTTATTAACATTACAAAAATACAGAAAAAGAGTCAAAAATTAAAAAAAAAGTTAAGAATTTCAAATATTAGCAGCTGATGATGTGGGGGTCTCAAAAAATTGGCACGTGACCATACACACGATTACAAACCTCCAAACAATCTAAAACCAATTAAAAATTAATAATCTAGAATAAAGTCAGGTTCTACGGTAAAGTATAACATATTTTTTTTATAAAATGGCGAAATTTGTGAGTGATTGAGTCCCAAGTAAATTAGTGAATTCCAAATAAAATATTATTAAGTTCTAGTAAAATATTGTTATAATTTATAGTATACAAGTTCCCAAAAAAATTAAAATCGTGAATATCATCCATGTTTTGTCCTTATTTTCGAGTTTCGGTCAAGCCAATACAAAAAAAAAAATAACCAATACGATAAAATTTGTATTAGCATTTTTAAAATAGAAAAAAAAATACTTTGATCCCATATATGGACGTAGTATCTGGAAAATATGGTAAATTTGACCAAAAAATGATATACTCCATTGAAAAAAGCGGGAAAAGTAGATTTTGTGCATATTTTTAATTTTTTATTAATTACGTACAATATTATATTTAATAATATAATATAATTTTTCGATAAACCTGATTTGGAGCTGCGAAGACAAATATTTCGATTGCGGAAGCTAACTTCGAAAAACGTCGAAATTACTTTTTTACTTACTGAATCTCTCGAAAAAATGGTTTGGTCCAGTAACCAGAAAAAAAGTATTTTTTGCCATATAGCCATTGGCATTATTGACTCAAGTTACAAGTAATAGATTATTTTCTTAAAAGTGTTTAATTTTTTTTACTATGAGTTCACGTAATAATTAGTTCCTAAAAAAGGTATTTTAGATAAAGTTATTTAAAACAAATTTAAATAAATAATTTTTTTTTTTTCTTTTTTTTTTCTAATAAAGTTATAAATAGTTTAACAAAATTAAAAAATAAATATATTGCAATATTGTTGTTGTTTCTGTTGTTGCGCTATTTTAATGCATAATAGTTTGGTCCAATACACAGAAAAAAGTTGTTTTTGTCGTATAGTGTTATTGGTTCAAATTACAAATAATTGACCATTTTCTTAAAAAAATATTATTTTCAAAAAAGATTTTATACTTTTTACAAAGAGTTTATGAAATAGTTTAGTTCTACAAAATGTGTTTTACCAAAGGCAGTCTCTGTTCGACAAATTTATTTTAAAGAAATTAAATTAAAATATAAATAATTTTACAAAATTAAAAAAAAAAGTTATAATATTCCTTTTTTTGGAGCACTATTTTATTACATATGTACATATAGAGAGTATGCTGGGGTGTTGATTCAAAAATAATGATTGCAACACAGTGGCAATAACATGCTCGATAAATAAGCCCTTAGCAATGCCGCCATTTGAATGCAAACATAATAGCATTTCCAGTTGTAAAGAGTATATGCGCACCATCGCCAGGTTGTCAAATGTTTTGGTTGAATAATTAAATATTTTGCACTTAATTAATCTTATGTAACAAAAACAGCAAGGCATATAAACAGCTATACGGTCACTAGCATATATATACCTACATACATATAAATATCGTTTGTTACATGCATACTTGTAGATATAATATATAGATATAAATGAAAATGTGGAAAGTACATAATGAATATAGCTGTGAAGAAGAAAAATTAGACCAACAGCGTAAATAAATAATTATAAGTGAACGAAGTGAGTGTAAAAATTAGAATGAAAAATTACCACAAAATGCCAAAATGAAAATTGTATGCAATTAATCAAGGCCAGTCAGTGGACGAACGAACGCTACTTTTGTGAGCTTGAGGCGATTGGTTGCGGGGCAGCACGGGTGACAGAGCGCAATAACACGCATGTGGAAATTGTAATGCATTAGTTATTTTTTATAAATGTACATACATACATATTTATGTAAGTATGTGTGTGAATTAGTACAACAAAGAAACTTGATTATAGTTGATGATGGTTTTCATACTGTGCACTATAGCTAAGCTTTATGGATGGGGAAATGTATAAGTGTGCATTCATTTTTTTCTTTTGTTCTGTTTTGAATGCTTGTTTTCATATATCACCACACTGTTATGACATATTATTTGTAGCTTTACAAAAATATTAGTCACACGAACGCATAGCAACGCTTTGCAAAGCTGACTCCATATTCATAAGCATGTTGCAGCATTGACCAATCAGCGCATTGCTAATTGTTGCTGCAACGTTACAAATGAGACGCAGGGCGCTGAACGCCAAGAGCTTGCACCGAATGGGCATTTGCTTGCTGCTGACATGCGTAAACACGCCCACGCATGCAGCTACTGGGTGCACGGGCCGCTTAAGCCGTTAGCTAAAGAAATCAAAGGAAGGTGGTTAAAAAAAAAGAACAATTTGTAGCGTGCGCACGCCCACGCCTGCTACAAGCTTTTTCATGTGAATTTTTGGTGAACCAGCAGTTAAGCTTAAAGCCCTTGCGATTAGTGGGCGGACGTTTCACCATTTATTTTTCTGCTTTTGTTAACCACCATTGTTGTTTGCAGCTCCAAAGCGTCCGCTCTGAGTGTGAATGCGAGAGAGAATTGCAGAATTATGCTTGTACAGTTACACACACGAATGCTGCCATGCTTAGTTCGAAATTGTTGTTGTACGAAATTATAAAATCGGTTATTTCACATGCACTCATGTGTGCGAATGTGCTCTTTGGAATTTTGCAAAGCGCTGCTTGCTCTCTTTTTAGCTTGTGAGTTTTACATGCCATAACGGCCATTTTGAGTTACATGCTAGCTCTTTTCCTCTACCGTTTATATACGCAAGGCTAAGAAACCAGTCTTTCCACTTTTCAAATTCACCTTATTAGCCTGCTTACACACCACACTCACAGCTAGCTGTGCTATTCACACCATTACCATTTTATTCGAGCTGATGCGTCTTACTACCAATTGCCTTCTCATATCGTCTATATTCACCTCATACATTTTGGGCGCTGCTTTTGACTGCGTGCGTGCAACAAAAGCCACGGCATGTGGCATGCGAGCTCTTGCTGTTGCACACATGCAGGGCACCACTACAATTACGCTTGAGTCACTTCTCAACAGGCAGACAGCCACCAGCCAGTCTGAGCCGTCGGTCTTCGATAGCATACAAACAAACATAGGCGTAGTACTAGGCGTGCAGTATTGTTCTTGTTTTATGTTTTTGTTGCTTTTGTTGTTCGTTTAATGTACACCAACTGTGTGTGTGTGTGCCTGCTTGATAGCCAGCGCATGCACGTATGCCGAAGGAGTCAAACCAACCACTGTGCACCCCGCATTCGCACAGCGTCGACCACGACGACAACACACACGACACGATACCACTCGGAAAGGTACGGTCGGCCGCATGCTAGCAACTGTAAGCAGTGGCATAGGCAATTCCCAATTGTACAGATCACTAACGGAAACGAACGCAAACGCATTTAGAAATTATTCGTGCGCACAGCTAATAGACGGATCAGCGGCTGGTAATACGGAGCGCTGTTTATGACGGTGTCGCGGACGGGTGTATTATTTAGTTATTTTAATAAAGTGAGAATTTGTTTTGAAATATATTACGAAAATTATTATACAATACTGAAATATTAAGAAATCAATGTGAAAAGTTGTATATTCGATATTATAGAAAACAACAAAAATGCGACGGTAAACGAACGCAGTGATTTTTTAGTGAAGAGGAAAAATGTGAACAAAATTTACGGTTTAAAAAAAAAAATTATAAAATATACAAAAACAAATTTAATTAAATTAAAAACAGTCATTCTGATGTTTAAGGTGTATTTGTATATCATAATATATGCTTGAACAAAAGTGTTTGAATGTTGAAATTGGCAAATATTAAATAAACTAAACATAAAGAAGCTCAGCGTACTGGCTTACACGAATCCACAACTGTTTGAGTAGCACACGTTTTCTTACATCTTTACTCTACACAAAGCGTCCAAAAGCAGTGACGCATTTACAAACTGAACTTTCGCGTTTTACTTTCAATACTTTTTAAGCCGCCTTCAAAATGATGATGAACGCTTTCATCGACCCCACGCCCTCCCAGCATCATCTGGCTTCCTATGGGCTGCGTATGTCACCGACTACACCGACCAATCAAACGGATTTATTGGGTGGCAGCGCACAACAACAACACGCACAGCAACAACAACAGCAACAACAACAGCAAGTGCAACAGCAGCAGCAACAACAAGCGCAACAGCAACAATCACAACAACAACAACAACAGGCACAACAATTGGATACCAGCGGTTTGATGTCCTCAGCTATGTCGCTGGGCACCAGCGTCAGCGACATGTCCTCGCCCGTAAGCGCATCTGCCGCCAGCGCTGCCGCCTATCAGAACAGCGGCTACAGCCACTTCAATACACAACTCGGTTCGGCATATTCATCACCGCGCGATTTTCTACTTGGCCGCCGCACAGACAACGATTACATGTCCGGTGCGGCAACAACGCAACTGGTTGGCCAAAGTGCCGGCACCACCGCTGCAACGGCCGACTCAATGCTATTCCCCTCATTTCCCGCCACACATGCCCAGCATCCCGATTTGACCACATCCTTTGGCAATCACCCGTTCCATGCGGCGGCACATCATCATGCTGCGGCCGCGCATCATCATCAACATCAGATGCGCATGGGCATGGCCGACTATGCGCATCCGTATGCACATCACGCACAACATCATACAAATTTTCCGTCGGTACATCATCATCAACATCCCGCCATGTCCATGCATCCAGCTGGTGCGGGCGCTTTTCTACGCTACATGCGTCACCAGCCGTCGGCAGCGTCTGCGATTAAGCAAGAGATGCAATGCCTTTGGGTCGATCCGGATCAACCGGGCGGTCCGAATGGACGCAAGACATGCAATAAGATCTTTCACACCATGCACGATATTGTCACACATCTAACGGTGGAGCATGTCGGCGGACCCGAGTGCACAACGCATGCTTGCTACTGGATCGGTTGTTCGCGCAACGGTCGCCCCTTTAAAGCCAAATACAAGTTGGTCAATCATATACGCGTGCACACGGGTGAAAAACCGTTTGCCTGCCCGCATCCCGGTTGCGGCAAAGTGTTTGCACGCAGCGAGAACCTCAAGATACACAAGCGAACGCATACCGGTAAGTCACTGCTAAGCAATATTCGTATTAAAATAGTAACTGTATTTAGGTAAAATACATATGTTGGAGGCGTTGTGTTTTCACCTGTATACAGCAGGCGTTAACGCGGCTGAAACTGTTCGCATGGCATTGCAATTTTGACTTGACTTTATTCGCCTATTGCTTTGCGCTGTTTTATTTTGTTTTAACTTGTTTGCCTTTTGATTTTTGTTCGCTAATCGGTTTAACTAATTTTTGGGCGGCGCCGTTGTAGGCGTACACATTGATTTTTGCGGATATATCCAAAGCGATTTAAGCCTTTCGGGTTTGCGGCGTATTTTAGGGCGTGCAAACTATTTATACTGTCAGCGTGGATAGCAAAAAGTCAGTAAGGCAAAATTTATATGAGCGTCTGTGTGAGTGTGGTTCAGCAACGTACCTGCATGGAACCTATACAGTACTCAAATTTATAGTTGGCAAATTGTCACAAGGTGTCAGGTACCTGATGAGAGTACGAAACGTTTTCCTCACAGGTAATTTGGCACGTTAAATGTCTACTGAAAACTCTTTCGTTAAAAATTGTAATAAAATCGGACCATGCTTCTGTTGAATAATAGTAATAGAGCATAGTAAGCAGGATGTATAAAATTACTTAACAAGTTAAAAGAGCTCTCAAGAGTAAAGATTCGGAAAAATTTTAGCAAGTTGCGATTATGTATTACTTTGCGGTATAAACTGATTACATATCTAAATTTTGAAAATTTTAATGTCACACCTTATCCTACTGAGTACAACTTTTCCACCTTAAAATAACTTATTTGCATTTTTATCTGATTTTCATTTCCTTTGTTGACGAATTTATTGTTTATGATATGAAAGAATTCTTCTTAAATAATTTTTCCAGCTATAATTTTGAATATAAAATTTAAAAACAATTTTGAAATGGTTACTCTTCAGGTAAACATGTAACAATGTAGGAAATTTTTTTAGACTCTAGATCGATTTAGCCATTTGTCTATGGTATATACGCCAACTAGTCATTCTGTTTTAGAGAAATCGATCTAAAATGTTGCACACGCTCTTTTTTTATCCAATATTGAACCGCTGTAGAGTATAGCTGACATACAAACTGATCGATCAAATTCAAGTACTCGTATCATAAACATTTTTATTTGACAAGATATCGTCCCGAAATTTGTCACAGATTAGTATACGAAGCTACAGTACTTTGTCCGATCTTAAAGTTTACATCGTAGCTGCCATGCAAACTTTTTTATATGGCAAGATATCCTCACGAAATTTGGCTTAAATAACTGTTCCATATAAAGTTACAATATCCGCGTTTATAGTTCAGATTAGACGACAATAGCATATAGCTGCAATACAATTTACTATTTTATGCTATAAAAAAAAGCACAAGTGAAGGGTATTATAGCTTCGGTACGTTTATTCTTGTGTTTTTTTTTCTAATTATTAATGTATGAATTTAATGAAAACCTCTTTCTCTTTTGTTCAAATTATCCATATTAAAAGTTATATGTATGCACTTAGTTTTTAGTATTAATTTTGCATTCATTCATATTTATATGTATGTGTGTAAGTTTTGTCTACAAAATAAAGTTGCCGACAGCCTAAATTCCGGGCTGTAAATTATAATGAATTTGACATACTAAATCATTGGAAAGCCGCAGCGATACATCATGTACTTACATACACATGCACATCAGTACATATGTACAATGCCAAATAATACTAAAAACTTAAATATACATATGGGTTTAAATAGTAGAGCAGTAGTTGCGAAAAACAATTACAACAATGTCGGAAAGCAAAAGCAACTACTACTAAATCAAAAGTTGAAAGTGCCATTTTAAAGAACATTTAAAAAAATAAGTGGTGTAAAGCAATTTCTAGATGTGAAAGTTTACATATACATACAAGATTTATCTATAGTAGTAATGAACACAACTTTAAACCAGTAACACCACCAACAACTTGCAAGCTGATTATCATTTTACCCCATTTTCGAGCTTTGTTAACATGAACATTCGCTTATTTGATGCTTTTAGGCAGTGTTGTTGCTGTATCTGCATTCAAAATGCGTTTGCGTGCGTGTGAGTGTGCTCTATTGCCCAAAAATGCGCATTTCCTGTGACACTTTACATTCGCAGCGGAAGTTTTGACACGTGTCAACGCAAGCAGCCTCCGTTTATCCACCAAAATGCTTCTGCTCATTTCTGTGCTATGTACTCGTGTGTATGTGTTTGTATGAAAATAAGTTTGCATTTGTTGCTAAATTCACGCTACTACAATAAATAAATATGCTATGCACTCCAAATGAGGGCAAACAATTCGTTGCATAGATTGACTTGTGTTGCCGTTTATGCACACAAACACATACACGCAGGCTTACTCCAACACTATAGCACTTCATTGGCACAATGAAAATCACTGATTGAATTTTGATTTATTTTCTCAATTGTAAGAGTGTTTAATGAGGCGTAGTTTCTACAACCGCAATACTCAGAATGTCGGCAGCCTGCTGTTGCTGCTGCGCCGGTGGCAGCGACTCAAGTGGCATCTCAAGTGGTGTGCGGTGTTACGCGTGTGCTTTGTTGTATATGATTTGCTTGGTCGGTTAGAATTGAAGAAAATAAAATAAATACTTGTAGATGTGTATGTATGTATGCGTGAATAAAAGGTGTTGCATGAGGTCAATGTGCCGCTGTTGGAGTTGTGGAAATTCCACTGTGGCTCTGTTTGTATTCTTGTGTATTTACACATAAATCGTGCTTTAATTGCTCTAATGGATAATTGGCAAGGCACTAGAGGTGTTGAGTAAGAGTTAATGCGTAGCTTTGAGAGATTATTTTTTAAATAACTTATTTAAAGTAAAGAAAATAAAAAAATGTATTTAAAATTGACAAGTTAATAGTATTCTAGTAATATTTAAAAAAAAAAAAAAGACAAAATATATTTAATTTGAGTATTTTCCCTTTGCTTTGAGAGATTGTTTGCCAAATAACATTTTTAAAGGGAAGAATATATAAACATGCATTTACAAGCACTTAAAATTGCATTTTAAAATTAATAATTTTCTAAAATATTTGTTTGAAAAAAAAAATTAAAATATAATAAAGTAGATGAAAATTAATTATTTTGTTGTGGTTTTGAGAGATTATTTGTCAAATAACTTTTTTAAAGGAAAGTGAATATATTTAAGCATTTAAAATTGCCAAATCAAAAATTGTCTAATTAATTTGTTTAAAAAAAATAATAATAATAAAAAAACTAATTAAAATTAACTAAAAAAAATAATAATAACAATATGTTTAAAAAATAAAAATTAAAATAATAAAATAAATAAAAATATGATATTAAATGCTTTGAGAGATAACTTAATTAACAATTTTTCTTTTATAAATCAGTTTTCCTCAATAATAATTAAAGGTGAAACATTAAAAAAAAACGAATTATTTTATTGTAAACTTTGCTTTAAAGTTTTTTCTTAGTTAAGATTAAAAAAAAAGTTAGTTCTGACTATAAAAAATTTAAAACTGCTTCTTCCGCGCACAATTCAAAAACTTAAAATTAAGTTGTACTCATAAAAGTGAACGCCCTCAAACGGCAAGTATGCTAATCAAGGTAATATAAAATTGCCAAAGTGAGAATAAAAAGAAATTGTGAAGAATTAATAAAATATTTTAGGAACATATGAACACAAAAACGAGTACATACATACAATTATCGACAGACATATGAGTATATTAAACCTTCATTTAAGTTTACTTGAAAATTAAAAGAAATAATAACAATAAAATCAAAAAGCAATTAAAGCCACGAGAAAAAAAGCAAATAAAGGCAACACATAAAACCGCTAAAAACTGAAACAATTTGTTTGCCATTGTTATGGACATGAAAAGGAATAATAGCGCAACACCAACAAATACAATAACAATAATAATAATAATAATAAAAGAAAAACATTTACAAAAATACTAATAATAACACAAGATGTACTAAAGAAAAATGCCGAAATTGAAAAACTGCCACGTAATGATTGCCAATCAATGCTTTAATATGCGTTGCCATGCTCCAACAACACCACACACACCGTAAATCTCCAATGCGCGCACCGATAAACACATTCATATATAAATACATACATACATATGTATATATAAGTGTATATACATACGTACATAAAATCATTTGTTTCTACAAGTGAATGTAGTGCGAGCAGCAGCAAAAAATAATAATAATCCATCATTATGTCTAAAAATCTCCAGCTAAAGATGAACGAGCAACAAGAAAGGGTAGAAAAAGGTAGCAAAAAATCTACAAAATTTTTTAAATCAAATCGTACAAGTTGAAAGGCGAGAAAAGCGTGTAAAAATATGTTGGCAAGATATATATACATATGTTTATAGGCATGTGCTAATGTATGTGTATGTGTGTATGAAGTAAGTGCAGCATTTACAAGTTCCAAGTGGTTACGCTTTAAAACATTTTAATTACTTTCCAATGATATGCAATTTTACACATAAATCACTCAACACAAATCGCCATAACACAGAAGTCGAAGAAATAATAAGCGAACAGTGTATTCGTATCAAACATATGTAGTAGTTGTTGTAAACGCGCATACATCCATATGTAAGCATGTATTATATATTATATTTCTAGCTCATTTTATGCATTTTATTGCTGTTGCAGTTAAACAAAAATTGTATTGAGCAAATAGGCGCAGCATACGAGCTGTGTATGCCATCATAGATCGTAGTAATAGTTATTTTTACACATACTTAGATGGCATATTAGAAAATTTCCATAAAAAAGAATTAGATTTATGATGACATTTTTCATATTAACTATAAATGACGATTTATTGAAATAACTTTAATTTGGGTTACAGCTGTTGTAAACATTACTTGACTACAAACATATTATACTATTATTTTGCGTTTACTGAGCGCGTGTAAATTCCACCAGAAAGTAGAGATTTCGGCTAAACAACAACA